CTATGGTAAACTATAGTAAATTATAGATAGAATTATATAGATAGATTAAATATAATAAATAGTAAAATATCTAGTCAATCTAGTAAATGCCTGAGTTTTCCTAAACCCAAATTCCTAATTCCACAACATTTTTTTTTATGTATGTAAGTGATTCTTCCCATGGTATATGTTTCCTTCTTATAACCTACCTAAATTTTCTCTGAATGGTCACCTTCATGGGAGCACGAGCACTCCCCTGCTCTCTGAACACTTTAAAAAAATTTTTTTATTGTGGCAGAATAGACATAAAATTTACCATTGCCCATTTTTAAGCGTAATGTTCAGTGCTACCAAATAACACTATAATAATAACATTATAGGGGCGCCTGGGTGGCTTAGTCGGTTAGGCGTCTGACTTTTGCTTAGGTCATGGTCTCGCGGTTCGTAGGTTCGAGCCCCACGTCGGGCTCTGTGCTGACTGCCAGCTTAGAGCCTGGAGCCTGTTTCAGTCTGTGACTCCCTCTCTCTCTGACCCTCCCCTGCTCACGCTGTCTCTCTCTTTCTCCTAGAAATAAATAAAACATTAAAAAAATTTTTTAAAAATAAATAACATTATAATATTGTGCAGTCATCAGCACCATCCATCTCCATACCTCTTTTCATCTTATAAAACTGAAAACTCTATACCCATTAATCACTAGATCCCCATTGCCTCCTCATGAGACCCTGGCAACCACCATTTTACTTTCTGTCTGTATGAATTTGACTACTCAACATACCTCTTCTAAGTGGAATCATACAATATTTGTCTTTTGTGACTGGTTGATTTCACTTAGCATAATCACTTCCAGGTTTGTCCATGTTGTAGCATGTGTCAGGATTTCCTTCCTTGTTTAATGTTGGAAGTATTCTGCTGTATGTATAGACCACATTTTGCCTATCCTTTCATCCATCAGTGGACACTTGGTTGCTTCCATGTTTTAGCTATTGTGAATAGCAAATTTTTTTTCTTATTACTGTATGTTTATTGAGATACTTTATCAATTCTGTTTGCATTAAGTTTCTCACCTTCTCTTTCTCTTGCCTTTTCTTTATCACACTGCTCCCCACTTCACCTTCCTACCCCCACCCTATTCCTCAGCCCTCACCAGTGGGGACACTGTTCCTCTATGTTGGCCCTGATGCCAGCATGTAACTTGTAGCTACATCTCAGGCCAGCTCTCCAGATAGCTATGCCATCAGTTTCACTGACCATTTAACCAGTTAAGTTAGGGAGTGGCAAACTTTTTCTCTCAAGGGCTAGATGGCAAATATTTTATGTGTTGTCGGCCATAAAGGCTCTGTTGCAACTGCTCAACTCTAGTGTTATAGTGGAAGGTAGCCACAGACCAGACTAAACACGTGGACATGGTTGTGATACAGTAAGACATTAATTACAAAAACAGATGGAAGCCTGGGTTGGGCTTGTGGGACAGTTTGTTGATTCCTGGTTGCCTTTCATTTAATCTCAGCTCAGAAGCTAGTAGGCTCTAGTGATTGCAGCCCAGGAAGAGCAATAAGAGAAAGGTTTTGAATTAAATCATTGGTGATTTCATGCTGGGGAGGCCTGTTAGGTAGATACTCGGCCCCTATCACAGCCACCATGGGGTTGTTCACTCCTAGCCACAGAGGAGAAGGCAAGGAGTATTTCATAATGAGGAATAAGTTCAGAGGTTAGTAGTTTTGCCCACATCCCTTCTTCGTGTGTCCTTAAATAACACGGTACTATATTGCCTATGTTTCTAGCTTCTCTAAACTTGATGTTTTAACATCTGCCCTACATGCATGTGCTAGACACAGCTAGTTCTGGACAATCCAATAATAAGCCTTGCCTTGGCCTTCTCCCCCATTTATCACCCCTTAAGTGGGGAAGGCATCCTTTTCAAATGCAAACCAACTAATCCAGAGCCTAATCTCCACAGGGCCAGGGATGAGACAACTAAGGAGAGCCCTGATGCCTCAGAGTCTTGAAATTAATCACATTAGCCAATTCTAAACCTGCTTACCCTTCCTCGCCATTTCTTCTCACAGAAACCACAATATGTCCTTCCTTTCCCCCCATCTCATGACCAACCCTGGTGATTCCCTGTGTGACTCTGCATATTGTATTGTATAGTGGTTGCTATGAACCCTCGTCTTGGAAACTGAGTAATAAACTATTTTGTAGTACTATTTAATTTGTACTTTGGTATTTTACAGTGAACTAAGAGATGAGTTGGCCTTGTGATCCAGGCTCATGGCTGCCTCTCTGCTTTCATGAATGGCAGCCACTTTCTACTGTGGCATAGCCTACTCATCATCCCAGGCTCACCGCTTTCTCTGAGAGCTTCCCAGTCCTCTGGTTTCCATTTCTGTGTGCAGCTATGAGGAGCCCCTCAATTTAACACCCAGTCGTCTATTCTAACAGCAATTGTTGGTTCTTTGTGTGATGTTTATTTCCCCAAGTACATTGCCAAGGTCTCCTTGAGGACCAGGCTGTGTAGGGATAAAGACACAAAGTGGTTTATGGAAAAAGTTGGAGCTTTGGCTTTATGTGAGTGTCATCACCATGATTTCACCCCTTGTTAGCTTTCTGTGGCCTTGGGTTCGGTGCTAATCCTTTCTGAGGCTCGGCTTTTTTATCCTTGTAAACAAGGATTAAAAAGGAAATAATCAGGTATATCTGGGTCTGGTGTGCCTTCTTCATGGATATTCATGTTCCCTGAATACCTTTGGCAATAGACAACAACGAAGTGAAAATTACTAGTTCCATGGTTACTAAAAGTCTCGGTTTTCCAATTCAAAGTGTATACTGATGATATACAGAGAAATAACATATTATCCACCAAAAACCATAAAATACCTAAGAATAAATCTAACCAAAGAGGTGAAACTTAACACCCAAAAAACAAATAATCCAGTGAAGAAATGGGCAAGAGACATGAATAGACACTTTTCTTTTTAAAAAATATTTCTTTATATTTCAGAGAGAGGGAGCCCGCACGCCCGTGCGTGTGTGAGCAGGAGAGGGGCAGAGAGAGAGGGAGACACAGAATCCAAAGCAGGCTCCAGGCCCCAAGCCATCAGTGCAGAGCCCAACGCAGGACTCCAGTTCAGAACCACGAGATCATGACCTTAGCCGAAGTCCAACACTCAACCGACTAAACCACTCAGGTGCCCCTGTGAATAGACACTTTTCTAATGAAGACCTCCAGATGGCTAACAGACACATGAAAAAATGCTCAACATCACTCATCACCAGAGAAATACAAATCAAAACCACAATGATATACTACCTCACACCTGTCAGAATGGCTAAAATTAACAACTCCAGCAACAGGTGTTGGAGAGGATGTAGTGAAAGGGGAACCCTTTTGCATTGCTGGTGGGAATGCAAACTGGTGCATCTACTCTGGAAAACAGTATGCAGGTTCCTCAAAAAATTAAAAATAGAAATACTCTATGATCCAGCCATTGCACTACTAGGTATTTTTCCAAGGGAAACAGGTGCGCTGTTTCAAAGGGGTACATACACCCCAATGTTTATAGCAGCACTATCAATAATAGCCAAATAATGGAAAGAGCCTAAATGTCCATAGATGGATGAATGGGTAAAGAAGATTTGGTGTATATATGTACAATGGAGTATTACTCAGCAACCAAAAAGAATGAAATCCTACCATTTGCAACAATGCGGATGGAAGTAGAGGGTATTGTGCTAAGCTAAATTAGTCAGAGAAAGGCAAATATCATGGGATTTCACTTGTATGTGGAATTTAAGTTACAAAACAGATGGACATAGGGAAGGGAAGCAAAAATAATGTAAAAACAGGGAGGGGGACAAAACATAAGAGACTCTTAAATATAGAGAAATATAGGGATGGGCTAAATGGCCAAAAGACATTAAGGAGGACACTTATTGGGATGAGCACTGGGTGTTATATGTAAGGGATGAATCACTGGATTCTATTCCTGAAATCATTATTGTACTATATGCTAACTAACTTGGATGTAAATTTAAAAATAAAAAATAAATATATTATCAACATTAAGATTATAGAGATTTTGGGGTGCCTGGCTGAAGTAATCAGTATGTAGAGCATGCGACTCTTGATCTCCGGGTCATGACTTCAAGCCTCATGTTGGATATGGAGCCTATTTAGTTAAAAAATAAAATAAAATAAAAATAAAAGCCTTTAAAAAAAGATTATAGATGTTTTAAGAGGAATATTTTTTTTTGCATTAGAAAAGTGACCACAACAAAAGTGTTTGGGGTATTATAAAAGAGAAAAATAACCTATCATCTATACTTCTACCATAATGTAATTACTATTAGCATTTTTTTTCTTGTTTGCATTTTCTCAATTTATTTTAACTGGCGTGTTTTGATCATGAATAACTTGTAATTATTTTAACAGTTTTTATATCCTACTTTCCCACTTAACATAGTTTCTTTGATTGTTTGTTTTTAAAAATAAGGAAATGGGGCACCTGGGTGGCTCAGTAAGTTAGGCATCTGATTCTTGGTTTTGGTTCAGGTCATGATCTCGCAGTTTGTGCAGTTGAGTCCTGCATCAGGCTCTGCACTGTCAGCGAGGATTCTCTCTCTCTCCCTTTCTTTTTCCCGTCTCCCACTTGTACACGTGCTCACTCTCTCTCTCTCTCAAATAAATAAACATAAAAAAATAAATAAGGAATGTTTTTATTTAACCATAAAACTTCACTTTATGAATGATAACTTATTTTTCTATTCTGATATATTTCATATCTACTGAAATAATATATAGCAGTATGACTCATCAACTATGTATTGACTGCATGGTATTGGTATGAAAATCCTTTGTGTTTAATAATTTCAATAAATTCCTAATCTTTTCCTAGCTCTTAAAAACTAAGTTAAAATGGCTATCAAGAAAATACGGCTTTTTAAAGTAACTACAGTTAGTAGAAATAGGTCAGATAGTATTAAATTTTAACGATTTATCTCTCTTTTTTAAACAAAGGTCCATTTTAGCTTCTTATCTTCTAAAAGAAAAGCTCAACATCTTGGGCAAGTTGGGATGTCTGCTAAGCTGTGCAGGTTCTGTTGTGCTGATTATCCACTCCCCGAAATCTGAGAGTGTGACTACTCAGGCTGAGCTGGAAGAGAAGCTGACTAACCCAGGTAACTCCTTTCTAGCAAAGCTACCAGAGAGCTTACCTGTCTCCAGTATGATCCTTTCAGGTCTGGGCTCGAGTTGGCCTACCTATTGGTCGGTTTTCACAGACTCTGTGTTTGACTTTGTACATGAATGGCCATTGCTGCGCCCTACACTTTACAGCACCCTTCTCTCCTGCTGCCCCAGGAGTGGGAGGAGGTCTGGTGGATCTGGACCGACCCTGCATCCCCTCTCCCTGGAATTCAGTACTGCTTCTGCTGTCTTCTGGACCTCTGAGACCTTGTGCATGGGCGCTTTTATCACCTGACCCCCTCCACTCAGGCTCATCTCCTCAGGCCTTCCTTTCATGAGCACTCATCTCCCACTTATATGGCCTTCTCATTCCCCTACCTCCTATGACCACCCCCCACACACCTCCTCCCACAGCCTGTCACCTCTTGCCACCTGCCAGTACTCCCACCCTACCTCCTTTCCCGAATTTCTAATGTCTCTGCTCTTTTGTGTCAGTCCTGCTGTGGTCTTCTCTGGACCATGCTTCCCTCAGGACCAAGCCTCTACACTTCCTGTAACGTGAAACTGAGAGCTGAGACACGATTTGGTTTATCTTTGGATTTCCTATAGAGATCTCTGAATATTTTTTCTACATATTTTTGACATGACAAATGCTAGAAAAAACAACAGTCTACATAACTGTACTGGCCTGAAGTATAATTCTTCTAAATTACTTCCAGTAGACCATCTTATATTGCTTACCAACAATTTTAGACAGATGCCAGCACAAAACTGCATCCATACCAATATCCCAAATACAGACATCTCTAGATCACAAAAAAATCTAACCACTTTTTTATAGCTGTTAATTGGCAGTGAATGACATTGCAACGGAAACATCTGTAAAATTTGAAAAGGGAATTCATAATGAAATTAGTCAAGACTGTATTTTCCTGTAATTTTTTATCCTTAAACACTTAGCATTGTTCTATTTACTTCCTCCTGTAAAAGCCAAAATATTTCCAAAACTGTGAGAAATGAGAGTATAAAGACATGAAAAAAAATCAGAAAAATGGATATGAATGTCCTGAAGGATTTACTTTATGAAATTTTCAAAAAAATATATTCAAAGGCCTTTTACTTTTTGATAAATGTGGATGATACCATTATATTCAGGTCTTAACTTTTATAAAAAACATATCTAATTTGAATACTACCATCATAATTTGGTATGAAAATATGGTAGCAAAAAGATTTTTCTTTTTTTTAATTATAGTTTATTTATTTTGAGAGAGATAGAGAGCCACATGCTCAAGCAGGGGAGGAGCAGAGAGAGAGGGAGAGAATCTCAGGCAGGGTCTGCACTGTCAGCACAGAGCCTGATGCAGGGCTTGGTCTCACTACTGTGAGATAATGACCTGAGCTGAAATCAAGAGTTGGACACCTAGCTGGCTGAGCCACACAGGTCCCAAAAAGATTTTTCTTTTAAACATGAATAATGTGTTTTAACCTGGAATATAAAATGACATTATTCTAGCCACTTATAAATTAAAGAGATTTCTAAGGTTTTTAAATATTTATTTATTTATTTCGAGAGAGAGAGAGAGCATGTGCTCACATGTGCAGGACAAAGAGAGAATCCCAAGCAAGTTCCATGCTGTCAGTGCAGAGCCCAACATGGGGCTTGATCTCACAAATTGTGAGATCATGACCTGAGCTGAAATTAAGAGTTGAATATTTAACCAACTGAGTCACCTAGGCACTGCAAGAGGTTTCTAAGTTTAAAAAAATTTTTTTCTAAAGGTTAAAAAACATGAATTTTTTTGTCAAATAATTGCCTCAAAAGAAATCTTAAGGTCATCTTCCTGAATCTTACCCCAGAACAGGGCTCCATAGTTCTTTTTTCTTACCTTTGAGGAAGAGGGGACTCCCACAGCCTACCTGGTACATGTCCAGGCTGTTCCTAGCCCTGTCAGGCCCAGCTTCTAGAACTTCCTTTATAATCTCAGATTGAATTAGAAATTACAACCTCCTTTTGAACATGTAATTTCAAAGCAGATTTTCAATATGACACCTTAATTGTAATATGAAGGAGAAATAGCAGGATGGACCTTTATAATGAAACAGAATGTTCAGGTGCAACTATAGAAGACATACTAAAGCCAGCAGACCTCATGCCATGTGGAGTTGCTGAGAGCCTGGGAGCTGTAAAGAAAAACTCATGTGGGGTGTCATGCTATTAACTCAAATATTCATGGGATATTGCTCTCAGCAATGGGTTGAAGTTCTGAAAACTTCACTGCATATTAAATATATGCAAAAATTACTTTATTTTATATATAACTAGGTTCTAGGCTCTGACAATTATAACCATATTTTTCACTTATAAGTCCAAGGAGACATTCAGAAGTTGTGAAGAGAATGAGATTTTTGATTGTGTGGTACTGTCTCCACATCTCAGGGCCCCTGGCCTTGGCCCACTATATGCAGCTCTTGATCACTGCAGCAGCCACAACTACCCCCACAGCTTTCTCACATGTTCCTGAAGAACCCTCCCACTCTGGCCACACACACAGGACCACATTCTGCCTAGGGTTTGTTGAATTGACCTTTAATTAAGAAAATCATCTGTTTTCCAGTGTTTGTGGGCTATTTGTGTATCGTGCTCCTTATGCTGCTACTGCTCATCTTTTGGATTGCACCAGCCCATGGGCCTACCAACATCATGGTCTACATCAGTATCTGCTCTTTGCTGGGGAGTTTCACCGTGCCTTCCACCAAGGGCATTGGGCTGGCAGCCCAAGACATCTTCCACAACAACCCATCCAGTCAACGGGCCCTCTGCCTGTGCCTGGTGCTCCTGGCCGTGCTTGGTTGCAGCATCATCGTCCAGTTCAGGTACATCAACAAGGCACTTGAGTGCTTCGACTCCTCTGTGTTCGGGGCCATCTATTACGTCGTGTTCACCACCCTCGTCCTGTTAGCTTCGGCCATCCTCTTTCGGGAATGGAGCAATGTGGGCCTGGTGGACTTCTTGGGTATGGCCTGTGGGTTCACCACCGTCTCTGTTGGGATTGTCCTTATACAGGTGTTCAAAGAGTTTAATTTCAACCTTGGGGAGATGAACAAATCTAATATGAAAACAGACTAGGATGCAACAGGGGTTGGGTGGCTCAAGGAACAGGAAATGGATGTGGTTTCTTGTCCTAATTTGATGTGAAGTAGAAGAGACCCTAATCACTGGTATTAAAGTTGCTTGCATATTAATGGGTGGTCTGGTGGACAGTAGGGAGCATTGCTCAGCATCTGAGTGGGGGCCCAGCCCTCTGCAGTCTAAAGTTGCTAAATGGTTGTCTGGGCATCATCTCTCTCTGACGAGAGGAATCTCATGTTCATTGCCATTAACCTGGAAGCTTTCATGAATACTATTTCCTTTAAAAATATTTTAACATTGTTTAATAGAGAATAAAGATGGGCTCTTTCTGGTTAGTCTTTGCAGGGGAGCAGATATTATTACTTAGAAGATTACTTTGGAAATGAGAGAAATTTTTGTCTTGTAGTCTGACTAACAGTAAATGTGTCTATAGTTGTGTTATTTTGCATTAAGCATGTATAACATTCAGGTACCTCATCCAAATAATAAGTACATACATTTAATTGTTTTTAATCCTCTAATGAGCTGACTCTCCCACCTCCTACTCCAAGACATTTTAATTGAAAATAGAGAGAGAATGAGTGGACATGATGCAGAGTTCCATTTATAGGATGACTTTCAATAGCTCAAATCAATTTCAGTGCCTTTATCACTTAAACTCTTCACTTAATTTGACTATGACTATGTGTATGTCTCTTAGAATAACTCTTTGATTATACTTTAATATTTCACTATTCAAAATATTAATGTATAGAGCAGTTAGAAGTAACAGTATATTCATTTGCTGGAAGAAAGTCACAGCGCAAGACCCAGAAGAGCAAATTGACCCTTTTAGCATGTAGTTATTATCCAATTAAAGACAATTGACTTAAGTAGCATAAGGTATTTTATTTGTATTTAATCTATGTAACTGGGGCCCAGTATCAAATATATCCACATTCTCTTTCAGTGACCACTGTGGCCATTCCAAAGAAATAAATTATTTAACTTGATAACAAGGTTGTTAGATGAGAGAGTAACTATTCAATAGCACATATATCAAGTTCCCTATAATATAGGAATAGGTTAAAGGACACAGTCAAGCTCAGGCAAGTTTCTGAAAATTGGAACATACATAGCAAGTTTTCAGAAGAATTTCTAGCAAAAATGAAAACAATTAATTTAGCCATCTCCCTGTTGTTTGAGATGGCACAGCACACTACAATTTGTCACCCACTTCTCATTAAGCTTCTGAAATGCAGAATAGCCACTTATTACGCCAATGTTTAGATCAAAGAGATCATTTGTTTATAGTAACCTCCTATGTATGTTAAACGGGAGCAAAGCACAAAGTGATGCAAATTATTTCACCCAGATATCATGTACTTCATGTTCAATGTTTCATCTAAATAGGAAACTGTGCCAAGTTGGAAAATGGGATTGGGTAAGGCAGATTTAGTGAACTAGAATGTCACATTTAATAATATCCAATTAAAGTTACTCATTAAGGGAAAAATATTTTTTCAGGAAAAAATAACATTTCCAAAGACCAAAGAAATTGTTCCCTGAAGTGTTGAACAAAGAGGCTAAATAAAATGAGGATAGTTTAACAGTGAAGAACACCTTTATAAATTAACAGTACATACGATGATCATGAGTTGTCAGTGATTAGTGAAATAAGAGCAGCAACAAAATTGTTTAAAATTTTTTAAATCTTATATTAACTGACAGTTAATAAACACTCAAAAAGTCCCTCATAAAGTTTGTTTGTTTGTTTGTTTTTACTATCAGGTATTTTTAGGAATGCAAGCCTTAATTTATTGAACTGAAATTTTTGAAAATATCATGTAGCAGTATCAGTATGCTTTTAGGCAAAAAAAAAAAAAAAAAATAGTTTCCTACATAAGGAGTTTGGGATAGTAAAAGAACACATGTAGTAAACAAAAGTATACTGAGAAAGTTCCTGTGTCTTATGAAAATTATCTTGTTTATTTTGTTACAGTTTACAGTTGAAGCTTCATTTAAATTCATCTATTAGTGTTCCTCATTATATTTTATTTCACAATTATACCCTGGATACTCAGAGGTAGTATTTTCTGGATGATCATCCCTGTGATTTTTTTTAGAGTAAAACAAAATCTGAAAGTAGTAATAGCTGGTCTCCTCTTCAGGATGACTTGTTCTGGAACAGTTGGACTCTCCCATGTTTAGCAGATTATTTTAGTAGGAAGCACAGCATTCCTTCCAATGGAACAAAGTTCTTATGATTGTATTTCAAGTGTGTGATTCTAGCCTCAATTGACATGACTAGCAGTCTAAATAGCCCAATTTTCAAGTTTGACATAAAATATATAATTTCTGATATAATAGTATTTTTTTTTTACAAATTCATGTTTTTTTAATTCTTTTGGAATTGCAAAGAAAAAAAGCCTCAAAGTGAGAGTTTGGGAGGGGCTAGAATGGGTATGGGTCTCATTGGTCTCTCCAAAAGTAAATACATATGAAACATTTTCATGAATATACTCTTCCTTGAGTTTTATCTCTGATTAAACTAAGAAAAAAATTACCTACCTGTACTTGTTTTCAAGCCTCCTCTAAAATCTTATGTTTCTGATCACAATTTGCAAATTTACTCTGGATAGATACTTAAATAAGTCATTTCTCTCCTCTACTACTTAGACAATGCTTTGTTTTCTCATCTGAATCTTTGCACTTAAAAAGATTGCTTTCTGTTTTCCTGATTGATCAAATTTAGGGCCTAGTAAGGATTCTGAAGAGCACCCTGGGGATTTTGCTCTTCTAGAGGACTATTCCATCTCTGTAGAGAAGGTTCTCGATAGGAAGGGCAGTCTGCTTCTTGCTACACATGGAGCAAGAACTGCTTATAACTTGTTCTTCAGTCAGATGTCACCATAGTATTTTCACATTAGAATGTTAGTGAAATACACTTTCCTGCTCTTAGTTCAGCAATAAGAAATATTCTTTCAATTCCTACTTTTCAAGCCAGTTTGTTATACTCAATATTATTTCCAGAAGTTCATTCCAGCTGTAGTAGGTTGGTCTTTGTTCTTTTACTTTAGTTTTCATGTCTGTTAAAAGAGAACACTATTAACGTGCCGTCACCCCTCATCTTCCTTCTTCCTCTACAGCCTCACTCTTTGTAAATACTGTGCTCATTTCTATAAGCTAGTTCCTAGATATTTATAAAGCACTGAGATGCAGTGTCTCCCAGGTATAGACACTTTTGTCCGTGGAGACCAAAGGTATTGATGACTGACTAGTTCTTGGATGATACCTCTCTTTTCCAAGCTGCTCAACCAATCTAGACTAGTAGAGAAAGTGCTCTAATTGTCTACAGAGCCATGGCCATTGCTCTTTTTTGATGCCTACTTGATCCCAACTTAGGCCTCTTATGACGAGTAGGAAACTGGAAAGAGAAAAATGCTTCAGTTTAGATCTGTTCATGACTGTCTAATTGGTTCCAGTGGTCTGAAGGAGTTATCCTTCTGTGTTTGAAACCAAGGAAGTAGTTCACCCGTCAAGCAGGATTAGATGGAATCTTGGTGTTCCGCCTTCTCAGGGACCAAAAAATGTAACATTAACAACTTAGTACTGACTTTCTTCCCAAGGACATGTCCATGTTAGTTTTTCATTTGTTTTACTCACAGTCATAGCTAGAAGCCTGTTAACTTGAGTTGGAAAGAGAAAAGATCAAGTTGCACACCAGTCACACCATAAAACAGTTTATCATATAAAATACCTCAATTTTCTGTATTCCTCACTTCCACCTCACAGTTGTACTGGTGATGAATTTTAAGGGTCTGTCCTTTAGTTTATTGGTGATCTTTCACATCTGGCCAGATTCTTATACCTCCATTATATACTTGAAAAGATAAAGAATTATAAGAGTGAGAACGAGAATTTGGCCCACTATCACTACTTGTTTATTTTCATACACATTTCTCACATGCTACTAAATGCAACAAGATAATTATATTTTAAGAAAATGTAACTTTATGTTACACCAAAAAAATGTCGTGTAGTAAAAAGTTGATACTCAGTAGAACAATGATCATGTAAATAAATCTATTTCAAATGTACCCAATGTGATTAAAAACATTGTCTAGGACCCAGAGCATGAGCCAGGGAGAAAGATTTATTTGTTCTTTTCTCTATTTTTCCTTGAATTGTGCAACTATAGGTGAGTCACTTAACCTTTCTGTGCCTCAGTTTCTCTACCTCTAAAGGGGTGAGATGGTTCTCCAAATCACCTGTTTTAGAGCGCTCACACTTTTAGCATGTGCTGGTAGCCTCTGACAAGCGTTATGTGCAGGACTGCTCTGGAGTGATGCACTGGAAACTCAGCCTGCACTGGGCAGCCTGTCTGCTCAGGACTATGCTTTAGACACACAGCTTCAAGCACTGAGTAAGAAAAGGAAGTGCTGGGTGTAAAGTTTGCACAATTCCATGAAGCTTTAATTTTTCTTTTTTTTTTTAAGGAAGGGTTTTATATATTCTATTATAAAATATGAAAGTTAAACAGGGACTTTATAAAGCTGCACTGAAAGATCACATTCTGATGGTGTGATAAGATTTTCTGACATTCTGCATAGGTTTATGTACTGCAGAAGATTCAATGACCTGTGAACCAGACTGATTCTATTGTGTTAAATTTGTAAGGAATGATGCTGAACTTCCTGCTTCCAAGCAGCTCAACCCTGACCATGAATTACCCGACACCAGGTAAACGTCAGGAGCTCCCAAACCACTAGTGCCAAAAGGTCACATTGAAAAGTTCAGATTATTTCTTTTATTTGCAAGAATGTACTAATTTCCCTCCCTCCTCTATGTCAGAGTTTTTGCACTTTGGAATAATTTAAAGGTACTGTTTTACAGTAGCATTCCTGAGTGTTTTTGCCTTTCTAAATGGTAACTACTATTTTCTTGTAAAATGGAATAAAATTGCGAAAGAGAAGAAGACTAGATAAAAAATGTAAAATGTTGATTGATTGCATAAGTTTTTTCCTGTAAATGTATCAGGGGAGCTTCCAATTAGCATACATACACACATTTGTCAATGGCTAAGACTTGCTTATCTTTTGCTTTATAGAAATAGTCGTAGCATGTTGTAATTGCCTTATGTAAATAAAAAAGGCTATTTATTAAGTTTTACAATAATATTTATTAATCTGTATGTGTTTTAAAATAAAAGATTTCTAGCTGAACACTCGTTGCTTTTTTTTTTTTTACCCACTACTTGAAATATCCATATAGTCCCAGGTTCCATATCATCCTAATTCCTCAATTAAATGTTTCCTATTTTCTTTGTAGAAACAAATAGCCTGGTTCCCATCATGATATAAAAAATGTGTCCCTGTGACTATCTTAGGTTGCAAATCCATGATGTGTGAAGGAATTTACCATCTAGTGATTACCTTCTAATACAATTAAAGAAAGCCAGCTATATTTTAATATGTTAGTATCTTTTACATGTTTTGGGAGTATATAACATAACATTTTATTATGTTTTAAGCACATAAAAATTTAGAGAATTATAACACATCTTAAAACTATAAGTATCATCAGAAATCTTATTATTAATATTTTTAGTGTCCTGTCTCTTTATTAAACAGAAAAATATCTTATTTGAGAAAAATATGTATTGTTTAGGCTCTGTCGAAAAGGATTTAATTTGTAAACAATCTCTATACCCAGTGTGCATCTTGAACTTATAACCCTGACATCAGGAATCACATGTTCCACTGACTGAGCCAGCCAGGCGCCCCTAATTACTCACATTTTGATTGAACTATACCTATTCAGAAATCAGGAACAGACTTTTTTTTCCCTTAAATAGTTTATTGTCAAGTTGGTTTCCATATAACACCCAATGCTCATCCCAACAAGTGCCCTCCTCCATGCCCATCACCCCCCTTCCTCTCTCCCCCACCCCATCAGCCCTCAGTGTGTTTTCAGCATTCAAGAGTCAGGAACAGACATTTTTAAAAACCACCAAATGTTTCTATGGATACCCCTTTCCACACAGGTTTTTGAGGTTGTGAAGCATGTAAGTTCCCAATTCCACAAAAACTTGTCCTGGTTGGTTACTAGTATAAAACTGTAAGTTTTAGCTTCTAGCCAAGCACAGCAGTAGCTAGTAGTGCTGCAACTCATTCTGAGAGTTGTATAAAATCATGCCCTCCAAAAAGCCTATGCTCTATTTTTTCTTTTCCTGAGTCATGTCCCTCTCTGATGACCCTGAAGCATGGCATTGTTGGCATCTTTGTTTTAATGTTAATCACACTGGTACACTATATTTCAAACCTCACATGGTTGTTTCAAAAAGGTTTTTTGTGTTTGAGAGCTGAGGCAGTCAGGAAACAAAAACAAAGATAATTCTATCTGTATTAGCAGTTCAGAAGAGAAGGATTCCAGCTGAGGAAATTTGAAAGTTGGCATTTGAATTCCACCATGGCAAGCAGGATAGGAGGGATACTAATCAAGTAACAAACACAACAAATCCATATAAAATAACTGAAATAAAGGGATGGAAGATGGAGGAGAAGTCAAAGTGTGATTGCCTGTCTATAAAATGGAATCCTTTTATTTTTGGTGGTGATGTTAGGGGGATCTTAGTATCCCCCTAATTTGGTGTGCTTATTCACTGTATTGGTTTTCTATTGCTGCTCTAACAAATTACCACAAACTTACAACACAAATTTATTATCTTACAGTTCTGGAGGTCAGAAATCCAACATGAATTTAACTGGGCTAAAATCAAGGTGTTGTCAGAGGATTACATTCCTCCTGGAGGCTCTAGGTGAGAATCTGTTCCCTGCCTTTTTCAGCAGAGGCCTTGCACATTTTTTTGGCTCATTCCCCTCTTTCCATCTTCATAGATAGCAATGTTACATCTCCCTGACCCTTCTTCCATTGTCATATCTCATTCTCTGACTCTGACACTTATGCCTTTTTTTTTTTTTTTTAAGAGGGAGAACATATGTGGACAGGGGGAGAGGCAGAGAAAGAGGGGAAAGAGACAGAGAATCCCAAACAGGCTCCATGCTCTTAGTGTGGAGCCCAACACAGGGCTTAATCCCATGAACTAGGAGATCATGACCTGAGCTGAAATCAAGAATCAGACAGTTAACCTACTGAGCCTCCAGTGCCCCTGCCTTCTTACAAAAACTCTTGTAATTATTTTGTACCCACTTGAACAATCCAGGATTATCTCCCCATCTCAATATGCATAGTTCAATCACACGTGCAAAGTCCCTTTTGCCTCTAACATAAGATAGTAACAGGTTCTAAGGGTTAGAACTGTGAGAATTCTTTGGGGAAGGAGGCATTATTCTGCGTACCATATCCATTCCCCATTTCATCAAGTGAGCCAATACTAAAAGCCAACTCCTGGCTTTTAATGAATATCCTAGTGTTCTACCTAAATTTACTTCAAGTTATTACTGTCTTTTCCAGAGAGGTCTCCTCTCCTTCCAACAAATGTTTTTCGAAAATGCCGTACTACATTTTTAAGTCTTCTACAGTTTTGAGTAAACAATAATATTACTTGTAAAACATTTATATAATACCTTTAAAATGCTAGAGATACCAGAGGGGAGATGGGTGGGGGAGTGGGTTAAATAAGTGATGGGGATTAAGGTTAAATAGGTGATGCACTTGTTGGGATGAGCACATGGTGTTGTATGGAAGTGATGAGTCACTATATTGTACACCTAAAACTAATATTACACTGTATGTTAACTAATTGGAATTTGATACTTAAAATAAATAAATAAATAAATAAAATGCTAAAGAATGCCACTATTCACTTTGGAAGGACAAAAGGTAAATTTAACTAGTGACATGGAGTTGAGCTAAAGACAAAATGATTATCTGTTAATGCTGTTCTCGTACTCTTGGCTAGCCTCTGTGGTAACAAAACCAAAACATAGAAGAGCAACTCAAAATAGTTTGAGAAAACTATTTGATTTACTAATACATGATTTTCAAAAATACCATTTAGTAAAGAAGTCTTGCTTATATAACTTGCTTCTGTAACTAACAAAAATTTTCACAGCTTTACTGAGATATAATTGACACTCTGTAAAATGCATATATATAAAATATACATTTGGTAGATTTTGATGTATGTCATATGATGTTAGTGAAAGCATCACCATGAGCAAAACAGTGAACATATACATTACCCCAAAGTTTCTTTTTGCCCCACTATAATCCCTCTGCCTTTCTTGTTCCCTCCACTCCCAGTCAATCACCTACTTTGCTGCTATATATTACAATTATTATACACTCTTTTGGTCTGGATTCTTTCACTTCCCAAAATTATTTTGAGAATTAGCCATGTTATAACATGTATCAATAATAGTTCATTCCCTTTTACTGTTCAGTGCTATTCTATTATATGGAAACACCACAGTTGCTTATCCACAGTTGCTTTGTTGTTGGATATTTGAGTTGTTTCCATTTTTATTGCCCATTACAAATAAAGCTGTTACTGAATGTTCATTTACATGTCTTTTAATGGATATATGCTTTCATTTCTCTTGGTTAAATACCTGGAATAGAACCTCTAGGTCATATGGTCGATATATGTTTAACTTTTTAAGGAACTGCCAAAACTGTTTTCCAAGGAAGTTGCACCATTTTATAATCCCACCAGCAGTGTTTGAAAAGGAAGTGGATTTAAAAATTTTTTGAATATCTTATAAGCAATGCTTGAGCATTCATATTATATATAGAGATACAACAAAATGTGCTAGAGAGTCATGTGGGCATTTAAGGAGCCTGCATAATGTTAGCAAGGTATGTTATATACACCTATGAAACAATGCATTGTGTAATGTGACTATTAAGTGTCAGATGGGAGGACCAGATAAATGTGAGAGGGGTCTGGGGACACTGATTAGACAAGGCAGGACTTTGCTGGGATGATTAGAATACTGGCAGAAAAGACCTGCAAACAAATTCCTTAAGTTAAATTAACTCAATTTCTAAGCATTCATACAAACCAACCACTACTTTCATTATAATCATCTGCCTTCTACAGTTATCTGTTGGCATTTGTTAGTTATTGCTACCGACCGATCCACATAAAAACTGGTGACTTAGAACAACAATCGTTTAGTCTTTTTCAGAGGTTTGTGGATCTACAGCACATTCAACCAATTAGATCAGTCTGTTGGCTCAATCTCTGGAGTCTGGATACCTTTGCCACGTTGCTCTGTTCCAGGTGGTCTCCTTCTCCAGCAAACTAGTCCAGGTTTCTTAGGGTAATTTAGGCTAGGAACGACCACATTTTCTTGGCCAAAAACCATCCCCAGTCCTAAGACCACGGCAGAATCAGGGGATGGAGTGGAGCTGCAAAGTCACTCTGCAAAATGTTTGGGCACTTGGATAAATAGAGAATTGGAGCCATTTTTCCTCAATCTACCACATCATCAGAGACCAACATGCCAACTATCTTTCAATATTTAATGTAATTGCTATGTAATCTAGCTAGAATTTGGCTAAGGCCAAAGAAGTAAGCAAAAAAGGTCCTCTGACTCAGTTTTAAAATGTCACGATTAGTTGGTCACCAAATTCACAAAAGATTAAAAGCTTTTAAATTAGTGGCTGCATGGTCACTTATAACAAAACTAGAGTGGTCAGGAACTGTGTAGTCCAATTAGACTAGTCTTAAAAGAGCAAATTATATTCAGCATTTTCCGGTTCAACAAGCACTAGCTTAAAAAAACATTCCCACCCCCAACACCTGGGTGGGTCAGTTGGTGGTCAAGGGTCCCTTGATTTCAGAGCAAGTCATGATCCCATGGTTCATGGGTTCAAGTCCCACCTCAGGCTCTGCACTGACAATGCAGAGCCTGTCTCTGTCTCTCTCCCCTCCCCGCCCCTTCACAGCTCGTGCTCTCTCTCAAACTTAAAAAAAAAAAAAAAATCCCATTCAACGTGATTTACATTTCAAATACTGGTGTTTTGTTTTTGTTTTAATCTATTCTGAAACAGGACAACATACCCAGATCATCTTGGCACCTATAACCTCATCCCGCCTCGCCCTCTTCGTCCTTTTTAGAGAAAACCAGGATTGTGGGTTCAAGGTAGTTCTCCATTTCAGGGCAAGCCAAGGTGGGATAGCCTAACAGTGGATTGCCTGTGTATCTCATGAGAAATACATCTCTGCTCCAAGTGTCTCAAGAG